ATTGGTGGGTCTTCCCCCTCGTCGCCAGGCTCTGCTTCCTCCACAAAAGACGTGTCAGTGGGATTATGGAGGTCCTCGAAGTATGCCTTCCACTGGCTGACAATGTCCTCAGTCGAAGTCAGCAGCACTCCACCCGCATTATTAATGTGCACTGTGCCTTTTAAATAAATGCATTCAAATTATACAGAGAACATTAATGATAATAATACAAACTAATAATGTCTTGTAGCTCCGCCCACTGTCAAACTTCACTCCACGATGCCTCTCTCCAGTCACCATCCTGCCATGTTGGTCTGCAGTGTCTATGACTTCTTTCCCAGTAAGATCAAAGTGAGCTGGCACAGAGACGGACAGGAAGTCACCTCTGATGTCACTTCCACTGAGGAGATGGAGGATGGGGATTGGTACTACCAGACCCACTGCTACCTGGAGTACACACCCAGGTGAGCATCATGATAATAATAGTGCTAAAGTTTAAACATTTAAAGTCCAGATCTGAGAGTCAGTAATGTTTGTGTCGAAGGTCTGGAGAGAAGATCTCCTGTGTGGTGGAGCACGCCAGCCTGGAGAAACCTCTGATCACTAACTGGGGTAAATACCTGTCTGCTTGTATCTACACACCTGTACATACCTGTCTGTCTGTCCACCTGTCTGACTCTCACCTGTGTGACTCAGATCCCTCCTCATCCTCATTCATGCCTAAGACAGAGAGGGACAAGCTCGCCATCGGCGCCTCAGGACTGCTCCTCTGTCTGATCTTGTCTCTGGCTGGGTTCATCTACTACAGACAGAGAGCTCGAGGTCAGAGAACCACTCTCACTCACAGACCAGTTCAGACCAGAAACCAGTTCAGACCAGAACAGGTTCAGACCAGAAACCAGTTCAGACCAGAACCAGTTCAGACCAGAAACCAGTTCAGACCAGAAACCAGTTCATACCAGACTGAAACCGTTCAGAGATACAAAATCTCAAACCACATACGATGGGTCTAAAACTGGTTTTGATCTGGTTTACATCAGTATTTTTTTTGATGTTTTAAAATGTACACTTTTGGGCAGGTTAAGGCCAGTTTCACAAATTTCTAGAACAATCCTGTACATTTTCAGACAAGTGTTAGTTTCTGGCTGCATTCAAACGCAGGTTTTCTACTGGTTTCAGAGAACTCTTGGTCCATGTCCAGTCCCTAAAACATGAAACTTTTCCGTATCATCAGTATTGCTCAGTTTAAAATCAGCTTCCATGAAGTGCTTTCAGAGTTTGTTGGTGACTGTGTCCTCATCTCTTCTTCTTTCTCCAGGTCGTATCCTGGTTCCCACAAACTGAGGCTGTTCCTGGTCCTGGTTTTCTTTGATGTTTTAAAGTCAGCTGCTTCCTGTGTTTAGCAGACTGATGATGGTGTAGCCAACATGTCAGCTCACCAAAGAATAACTGAAACAATATCTGTAACAAAAGAAGAAAATGTATTCAGGGTCTGACTGCAGTTTACCATCTGTGCTTAATATCTTATAGAGCAGCGGTCCCCCAACCCCGAGTCGTTTGGTACCGGGCTGTGAGAGTTGAGGTTCTGGTGTAAAATGTATGGTTTTCAGGGTTTTCAGGGTTTTTAACGGTTTTTAGCGTTATTTTTGTTTTTGTCGTTAACTCGGTTTTTGTGGGTCTTTAAACGCGTGTTATGAATAAGTCTTCTTTTTTCGTTAGCGGTACTAATTTTCTTTTGTGGTATTTATTTGCGACACCTTAAAGGCCGGTCCGTGAAAACATTGTCAGGCATAAACCGGTCCGTGGCGCAAAAAAGGTTGGGGACCGCTGCCATAGAGATTTCTGGATTGGAGCATGTCATCCTTCAGGACTCGCATCCACTTTACAGTTTACTTTTTGACCATGGGCCTGCTGACACAAGCGCTCTTTAAATAACTGTGACTCAGTCATTGTTTGTGCTAGGAAGAGCATGTGAATGGTTTTGAAAAGATGAGAAGCTGTTCTTTACGGGATATTTGGTGTATTACGGTAGCACAAAGCGTTCACAGGCTACTGCAGTCTGAACACAGAAAAGTCAACTCTGCTTAAGTTTTACCGTCAGTGTTTTGCAATGCTGTAGCTCCTCAACCAACTGGGCTAGAGAGACATTTCAAAGACCAGCTTTACTAAAGTTTACTGTGCATCACTAGAAAGCACGAGCAGCCACAGTCCAATCACAGATAAGAACTGATGATTGATGATGATGATGCATGGAGCAGAGAGGCAGGAATGGAGAAGTGGCAATGCACAAAAAAAGACCAGGAGATTTAAAAAACTCCAATGTGGCTGAAAAAGCTTTTTATACATATTTTTTATATTTCATATTTAAAGTTGATGTTGTGTTACATTTTGTTCATGTTGAATATCAGTTTCCACTTAAATATAAAGCTGAAAAAACTGTCTGTTTTGTTTCTTTCTAAATGTCTGTATATAGTCTGGCCAGCAAA